CAGTGAACTTTCTTAACCTTTCTACAATAAGAGATCCCTGAAGCATTTTAAAATTATAATTACAAGCCCAAGTCTCATCTGATATTGGGTACTACAATGAGGCTTTTTGAGTGTGACTTTCTGGGGTTGCCATGTTCCTTGTCAAAAAATTTAAAATCAATATATTAATAATAAAACGTAAGGCAGCTGACTCAAGTATATCATGCATCATCTGGATGATACATCACAAACTAATAATTACCAGGGTAGTTCAGAACCTTTACACTTCTACTCAAAATGTCCGAACTGTCTTCTGCTAAAGACATCCAAAGCCCTCCCCCCACTCCACCACAAACACACACACACACACACACACACACACACACACACAGGAAAACCTAGAGGTATGGGCACAAACCAAGATGTACATACTATGTAAACTAAGGTATTGAAATTGAAATGTAGCTTCTGAGATACAGAAGAGTGGTGTGAAGTCAGCACACAACACAAGCCAATATGAACAAGTCCAACAGAAGAATTCTTGATTTCCCCTGCTAATACTCTACTTTTGAGTCTCTCCACCATCCACAGAATTCTGAGGCCAAAAATTAGCAAAGATTCCAGGCTTCTCTTTTATCAACTATGTGTCCTACCTATCCACCTGTCTTGCCATCTGCTTGGCCTCACCATTGGCACAACCGTAGCTCAGACCCTCATCTATTACCTGAGCTAGAACTCATTCACTGATGGATTTTCTTGCTTCCATGCTGGTTCTTTTACCATTCATTCTCCATGTAATCCTCAAAGTGATTTTTCAAAACACAATATCAGGATGGTTTTCTATTGAAAGTAAAATGAAATCAAGTCACATTTTCAGAACTTTCAAAACTGTCAAAAGGTTGAATTTCGTCATGCAAAAAGGTATGTCCACGTGGAAGTTCTCAGCGTGTTACATGGAGAGAAGGTCATGTTAAGCCAGCAGTAGAGATTGGATTTATGCTAAAAAAATAAAAAAGAAAAAAAGACAGGGAATGGCTGGGGAGACTGAGGCAGGAGGATCATAAGTTCAAAGCCAGCCTCAGCAAATTAGCAAGGCCCCAAGCAACTCAGCTACCCAGGAAGACCCTGTCTCTAAAATTTAAAAGAATAAAAAAATAAACAGAAAAAAGGAAAGTAAAGCCTAGAAGCCAGAAAAACTGAAAGAGGAAGTAAGCCTCCTCCTCCAGAGCCTTGAGGGGGAGCTTGTTCTACTGACATCTTGATTTAGGACTTCTGGCCTCCAGAACTTTTTGTCCTGTTTTCGTTTTTGTTGTTGCTGCTGTTGTTGGTTTGTTTGTTTTTCTATTTTTCTGCTTTTTTTTAAGGCACAAATTTTGTGGTAATTTTTTAAGACAGCCCCCAGGAAATTGATACAAATACCCTATTGATGTGATTCTACCTCTTACTATAATGCCCTTCATTATCACCCTCTGTTAACTAATAACACATCTTTTTTTTAAAGAGAAAGAGAGAAGAGAGAGAGAGAGAGAGAATTTTTTAATATTTATTTTTCAGTTTTCGGCGGACACAACATCTTTATTTTATGTGGTGCTGAGGATCAAACCCAGCGCCCCACGAATGCCAGGCGAGAGTATTACCACTTGAGCCACATCCCCAGCCCCTCATAACACATCTTCTAAGTCTGAATCTCAATCATCATATTCCTGTTCAAGCCATTAGCCTCCCTGTTTCTCTGCCTGGACCTTCTTCTCCCAAATCTCTTCTTCGTGGTTTTTCCTTTCTTTGCAATATTTTGGCCCCTCAGTACAAGTGCTAAATTCTGAGAGATGTGAAAAGTCCTTTGACTATAATGTAGCTTTCCCTGACCACCCACTTGAAATTGCAATCCCCCTTCCTTTGGTTTATTTCTTTTTATAACACTCCTTGATGTCAGACGTATATGTATTGTGATTTTTATGCTTTATCACCCTGTTTTGAGATTCAAGTTTTATGGAAGTAGGAATTATAAACTGCTGGGTTTCTGTTCTCGCGACTAAAAGGCTCAAGGGTCACTCCAGTTAAACTGGGCTAACTGGGATGTATGAAATAACCACACGAGAGATACAAATACCTTTTTCTTTGGGGTCGCTATGATGGCTCCTCTGACCTTAAGGGTTGCAGGAAGAGAGAGAGCAAGAGCACACACTGACCCTTTTTATTGAGGAGAAGCTATTCAAATGAGGCAAGGGGTCAGGTTTCAGTGAACTGAGTATATCTTCATGATGTCCACTGTCAGCAGGTTGACTGACACCTGGGTAGGCCACACCCAAGGGCACAGTAAGAGAAGGGGACACACACAAGGCACTTCCATGGAAGATTCTATCCGAAACAGGGCAAGGGGTTATATTACAAAGGAACAGGTGAGCATAGCTTCACTCATGGGGCTGTAGCAAGACACACCCATGCAGGAGACACCAACCCTCGAACCCAAGAAGGGTGAGGAAAGCTTTGCCACATTTCTGCGACTGAGCGCCTCAGCACCCAGCCGGGGAGTGTGACTCAGTCACGTGTAAGGTTGGTCTCCCACAGTAAACATCATTCATTGCCATGTATTAAACACTTAATAGAGTGTGCAATAAATATTTAGTGAGTACATGAGTTAGATATACACTGAGTAAATGAACTCACACTGTGCAATTGAAATCAATATCGTGAGTTGATTAAATGCAAAACATACAACCTGTGTCAGCTAAGGAGTTCCACAACAGGCCATCCCATGGTGTCCTCAAGTCTCTGCTCCCCCCATTCTGGTGCAGTGCTCCTTGGGTATCCTACCTGAGGCTCAGGCACACTCGGGCACAGCTTGGACCAGTGCTCCTATGGGTGCAACTAGGGAGCCTTATTAGTAGCCACATGATGCTAATTTTGCAAGCATAATGAGTGCCTGGGTTGTGAAGTCACAGCTGACTCCACCTAAATTTCAAATGATGCTTCAGTCTTGGGGGCCAACTAAACTCTTCTCCAAGAGTGAAGTTTCCACAACAAACCTTGAGGTTAAGACCGACCCTGAGACTTTAGTACTGTAGATCTACCAGTGTGCAATACTAACCTGGGAAACCTGCAGGTACCCAAACCTAATCTCTGAGAGCTGCAGCATGGGCAACAGTCAGCAGACATTGGCTTGCCAAGGGTTTGAGGGCCCAAATCTTGTCCCAGTGTGACCAGAGATATGATATGGAGTCAAAGATTATTCTCAAGACTCATATTTTAGTGTCGCTTCCCTGGTTGGGTTTCAGACTTACTTGTGACCTGTTACTCCTCCTTTCTATCCCACTGCTCCCTTTTCAACAGTGATATCTAGCATCTCCTTTCCCCATCACTGAATTTTGAAAGTACTTAACTTGTTTGATCTCACAGGTTAACAGCTAGAGAGCAATGTGCCTCAGTCTCACCCTTATCTTATGTAAATTACTCTGGACTTCAGAGTTTTGGGTTGGTGCTGAAATGTATGAAGACTTTGGAGGCTATTGGGGTGCAACAGATGTATTTTTCATGTGAGACATGGATTTTGTATGTCACAGATAGAATGCTATGGTTTGACTGTACCCCCTCCAAAATCCAGGTTAAAATTTAATGGCAATATGATAGTATTAAGAGGTGAAGGTCATGGAGAACTGGTAAGGTCATGAGGTTCGCCCAACATTAATGTGTTTCCAGCCCATGTGGGGACAGTGGTCATCCCCTTTGCAGGATACAGCTATGAATTTCCAGGTTGGAAGCAGACATAGGCCTTTCTTAAACCCTGTCTCCATTTGACCCTGGATCTTAACTCTCAGCCTCCCAAACAGCAAGAAATAAATTTTTGCTCTTTCTAAATGACTCCCTCTATGTTATTTATAGCAGCATAAATAGACACATGGTCTTGTCATAGGATTAACTAATTGTATCATATTCTTCAGAGGTGCTTATGCTCCAGAGTAACTAATTTTTCTATAGGCTAACTTGAGATGAGATGAACAGATCCTTTTATATTAGCAGCTTTATTTTAAAAGGTTATAATTAATTGGAAAATTAATTTTGTCATTTTTTTGTGATCACAGATTCACAATACTTCAAAGAATTTATGTGGTTGATATTCTGGTAGATACTATCCAATCTGTGATGTTCATTATATGAAGATAAGTTTAATCTAATCTTTTAATTTCTAGTTTGAAGGGAATCTGATTATTGTGTTTATCTATCCAAAGTTCTAATCTCATCTGTAATTTTCTCAATTAGCAAACACTTACTGAGTCATTTGTATGCAAATCACCAGGTCTTCATTATGACAGCAATGCATTTAAGCAATTGGTTGTGCAAAATTTTCTCACTGTAGAAGCAACATACACCATAGGACACAAATTACAATGGCCACAACATCAGTAGGCCATGCAGTCTGATGTGACCTTCTCAGTTCATCATAGGCTGAAATGCTGTTATGTGGCAAATGATGGTTCCTCAAGAGGTTTGTTATGTTTATTCTTAGTTTTACAATTACTCTATTTAAGTGTTATAATAAGTTATAATTCTTTTTGTTCTGGAAAGTATTTAAATTGAAACATCATAAAATAAGTGTCTGGCAGCATAGCAGGTCCTGAAAAATTCCAATCCATTATTCACACAAGGAAGTGTGAATAATGTTTTCACAATTATACTAGAAACTGTGCCAGAAAATGAAGAATTAAACATTCTGATTAACAGTGATTGTGAGAGGTTGATGATGACCCCAATAAGGAAGGGTCTTATTGAGTAATAAACACCCTGATTAGACAGGACTGGAGGAGAGAAGGATATCTCTGGCACGTGGAGACAGCACAAGTAGAGTGAATAGAGGGCCCTGTCTTTAGTGTAGTAAGAGTAGATGTTTTCTTTAAAGAATGACACAAAACAGAAGGAGAAAAAATGAAACAATGGCATGAAAATGGGAAATTTTCAAGAAAAATCCCTTGTCTCCACATCCCTAAAATGGTCATCATAATCCAAGATCTCCACCTCCAAAATGATTATTTTGCAGATACTCTCCGGAGAGCCCCTTTGACATCCTTGTTTCTCAGGCTATAAATAATGGGGTTCAACATTGGAGTCACCACTGTATAGAACACAGAGATCATTTTATCTCGCTCTTTTGTGGTCTTGGAGTTTGGCCTCATGTAGGCAAATATTCCAGACCCATAGAAGAGGACGACAACAATGAGATGGGAGCCACAGGTAGAGAAGACCTTGAGCCTCCCCTCTCCAGAATGCATCTGGATCACAGTGCAGATAATGTTCCAGTAGGAGACCAGGATGAGGGAGACAGGAGCCAGGAGGATCACCACGCCCATGGCAAAGATGGCCATTTCTGTGCTGTAAGTGTCTGCTGAGGCCAGCTTCAGGAGGGCAGGAGGCTCACAGAAAAAGTGGTTAATGATATTGTTTCCTCGGTAGGGAAGACGCAAGGTGAATGTGGTGTCCACCAGGGACACAAATGCTCCACTGGCCCAGGACCCCACAGCCAGCCTGACGCGTGCCCAGTGGGTCATGATGGTGGAGTAGTGCAGGGGCTTGCACACAGCCACATACCGATCATAGGACATCACTGCCAGAAGAGCACACTCTGTACACCCAGTCAGAAGCAGAACAATGATCTGCACTGAGCACCCAGCAAAGGAAATGGTTTTCCTCCTCACCAGGAAGTGGACAAGCACCTGGGGCACAGTGGTAGTAGAGAAACAGAGATCAGCAAAGGACAGGTTTCTAAGGAAGAAGTACATGGGAGTGTGGAGTCTGCAGTCCATGTGAATGAGCACCACCATCAGCAGGTTTCCCAGCAAGGTCAGCAGGTAGATGATGAGGAAAAGAAAGAAGAGCAGGACTTGGGTGTGTGGGTCCTGCGAGAGGCCCAGGAAGACAAACTCTGTCACAGAGGTTTGGTTCTCCTCTCCCATGAGTGTCTGTCCCTGTTTATAGAAGAGCATCAAGATAAGAAGTGCATTAGTTATTTCAGAAAACCTGCATAACTTCGATATTTTTTAATCAACATCCAAAGTTTGGTTCTTGATTTATGACTTTATACATGGTTTTCTTATGCCAGAAGTCTGGTTTTCTTATGCCAAAAGTCTGGTTTTCTTTTCCTTCACTTCAACCATTGAAAGCCATTTATATATATTCTCCCCTTGGATCTTTTAGTAGCACCAGTACAAAGAATCATTCTGAGTTTGCTGCATTTCAACCCACAAATGAACCACCTGTTAGGAGAAAATAATGATGCTTACTGTGCAACCTTCCAAGTAGGTTTAGGAAGAAAACAAATGATGTGATTTGAACCAGTTAGAATATCATGCTGTGAACTGCCTGTTATCATTTATGAAAGTTGATATTTTTCATCATGTTTACAAAATGGTCATAAAGAATCACTCTGATCAAGGGGGGAAAAAAGTTAAGTAATGGATGATACAGTATTCTGTGATCCTGTTCCCAGAGTCATTTGTTTTTAACATAAAGAGCGTTCTCTGGAATATCAGTAAAAAATAGCTGCTTTTTGGTCGTTGAATTCAGTAGCACATTTATACATCCCCTAATCTACACACTTTCCTCTCTTTGCACAGTGTCATTTGGCAATAATAACACTCATTATCATCTATTGTGCATTTCCTGGTGTCAGTTATTATTAACAATTTCTTTGAAATCCATGAGACAGTTATTATTGTTTCCAATGTACAAAAGATAAAACTCAGAAACATTTTGAAACTAGTTTCTGAGAACCCTGCCCACTCCTTCTGTACCCTGAAATTTGTTTTCTTTCTTCCTCAAAACTGCTTGCACAGGTTAAAGTTGTGCACAACTCTGTTTCTCACATCCACTCCTTAAAGAGAAACTCACATTCCCTTTCCATTTCCAGAGTTAGAACTAATCTTCATGGCAGAGTTATGAATAGATATAAAACTAACAGTCTAGCATATCTTAACAATTATTTTTCAATATTTTGATGGGTCTTGTCCAACAATTAATAGAAAATATCAAGGGAACAAATATTTAGAAAAGTGACAAACATTATTTGCAGATAAAATAATTGTATATCTTTTTAAAAAATCAAAGCAGATTCTAGCTTATGGAAACTAGGCAGAAATGTTATCTGATACAAACTGAACAATTAAATATCCCTAGGCTATTATATACCAACTAAAATTATAGTAAAAAAAATCCTTCAGAAAAAGAACAATGGCTAAACTTAGCAAGGTATATACTTCAGAAACTTTCAAGACCTATTTGAAGAAAACTATGAAACACAATATCTAAATAAATGAATACGTATATTAGGTATATTGATCTTATGGAAAGAATAATAAGTTCTTTTAAAGAGAGTCACTGTAATTCCAAACAAGTTTACAGAGTATTTTTGTGAGGAAAGTTAGCATAATTCTTCAAAATTTTACCTGGACGAGTAATTTTGTGATACAAAATGTGATGTTGGGAAAAGAAGAAGGGAGTACAAATATATTCTACTTGACATAAAAATATATTGTCAACTTTATCTAAGTAATATAGTATATAATGATCAGGTTTAGAGAGTTTGAGTGACATTATAGTATGTAATTCATTCTAATATATATAAAAACTTAAAGGACAAAGAAGGCATCCTAAATAAGTGCATTATTAACAAAATAAGGAGTAGTTGCTTATTCATTTTAAAATTATGCATATATATGCATATTTATGTACACAAATCAGTATAATAATTTACCTCAAGTATATTAATGATCTATTTTAATTCGTTTTTGGTAGGAACACAGATTGGTACAGCTATCAGGGACAAATTTATGAAAGTTTCTAAAATTAAAAATAGAACCACCAGAAATCCTTTTTTGTGTGTGTGTGGGGGAATACCCAAAGAAAATGAAATCACCACCTCAGAGAGATATTTGTATTTCCACATTGATTGCAGCATTATTAACAATAGCCAAAATATTAAAAACAACCTAAATGTTTGTCCATGGATGAATGGATAAGGAAATTGTGGAGTGTTTGTGTGTGTGTGTGTGTGTGTGTAAAGTGGAATACTAGTCATCTCAAAAGAGAATGAGGTCTTGCCATTCATCATACTGTGGATGAGACCAGCCTGGCAGAGAGGCTAAGTGAGATAGGACTGATAAAGAAACAAAAATATTGGCACAATCTCACTTATATGTGGAATCTACAAAGAAACATCCAAATACACACACACACATGGAAAACAAAATAGCGGTTACCAGGGTTTGGAGTGAGTAGTGGTTTGGAAATGGGTAGAGGTAGTTTACAGGATAAGAAGGGGCAGATGTGTAGGATGAGCAAGTCTAGAGATCTAATGGACAACATGAAGACCACAGGTGATAAAATCGTACTATATTTGGATTCAGGCCAAATAAATAGAATTTAGCAGCTCTTAACACAAAAAAATTACAAATCAAAGGGTAACTATGTAAGATGATGCATAGGTTAATTTGCTTCACCTTTGTCCTATTCTTATGTATCTAATAACGTTATGTTGTACATCTTAAATATACACAAAAATTATTTTAAACTTTTAAAATTTCTTTGAAATTAGGTAGCCTGACTTTCCAGCATTCATTCATTCACTCTTTCTCTTCTTCTCTCCTTCTCCCCCATTTTCCATCCAATTCCTGAATGATAAAATATATTATAAACATACACCAAAAATTTTATAAAGGAAAATGATAACAAACTTGCAAATTCAAAGATATCATATTTGTATGTAGTGGGCACCACAAACAAAATAAAAATATAAATATTACATGTCTGGCAAAATATTTGCAAAATATCTTACAAAGACTCTTATTATTTTTATAAAATATGAAAGTCTCTTAAAATCAGCCAAAAAAAATGATCCATTAGAAGTTACGCAAAACTTAAATGCTAGTTCACAAAAATAGGTAAAACTAAACAAAAAAGTATAAAACAAAGGCATACTGACTAGGGTGAGAAGAAATCTTAGAGTAGTTTTGATTTGCATTTCTCTAATTGCTAGAGATGTTGAATATTTTTTCATGTTTATTGATTGGTTGTATATCTTCTTCTGTGAAGTGTCTGTTCAGTTCATTATCTCATTTATTGATTGGGTTATTTTTCTTTTCTTTATTTTAATTTTGGTGTTAAGTTTTCTGAGTTCTTTATATATCCTGAAGATTAATGCTACACTCATACATTGCTGGTGGGACTGCAAATTGTTACAACCATTATAAAAAGCAGTATGGAGATTCCTCAGAAAACTTGGAATGAAACCACCATTTGACCCAGCTATCCCTCTCCTCCATTTATACCCAAAGGACTTAAAATCAACATATTGCAGTGACGCAACCACACCAATGTTTCTAACAGCTCAACTCGAAATATCCAAACTATGAAAACAACAGATGAATAGATAATAAAAATGTGCTATATATACACAATGGAATATTACTTAGCCTTAAAAAGAATAAAATTATGGCATTTGCTGGTTAATGGATGGAGCTGGAGAATATCATGCTAAGCAAAATAAAACAATACCAAAAAAACCAAAGGCTGAATGTTTTCTCTGACATACAGAGGCTGACTCACAATAAGGGTGCAGGAGCTAAGGAAGAACAGAGTTACTTTAGATTAGGTAGAGGGGAGTGAAGGAAGGGGAGAGGGCATAAGGGCAAGAAGGATAGTAGAATGAATCAGACAGTATTACCCTATGTACATATATGACTACATGACCAGTGGGATTCTACATCATGTACAACCAGAAAAATGAGAAATTAAACTCCATTTATGTATGATGTATCATAGTACATTCTACTGTCATGTATAACTAATTAAAACTAAAAAATACTCACTTAAACAACAAATGAGATATCATATTTCCCTTTTAGGTAAAATTTAAAATGATACAATTTCCGAGTTTGATAAGGTAATAAGATGACTGTAATGGATTGATAAGTGAAAAGGAAGCCATCAAATTTCATACATGATATATAATTTGAATCTTTTACATAAAGTGTGAATGCATATGTATGTTTGCATATGTGTGTGTTTATGTGTATTTTTAATATGTATCTATTCTATAGCATTTCTCCTGCCCTGTGAGTCCACTGACCATGGACTGTAGTCAGCTGTACAGAGCAACATAGGTCACTGATCAGCAGGGGGCTCTACCCCTGTGCTGCTGGGTGTGAATACTGGCTGATTTAGTTGATGTGTGACAACAGCAAATGATTTAACTCTTCTGTGCCTTGCTTTTATTCAACTATAAAATGGTGATACAAATTACCTATATCTAATGCCTTCGTGTAAATATTCAACAAAAGAAAAGACGTTTGAAGAATTTAGGACAACACATAAGGCTAGCTCAAAATATTATACAAAATCTCACTTTAATAATGGACTCATGATCTCCATCCTATTATTATAGGAAGATTAGAAAGAACAAAGCTAGTTACACATGGATACTGTGGTCAATTGAGGATGATTATTATTCTTATTAATTATTTCTACCATTTGCATTCTTTTATTCTTTGTTCTTCTGTTGGGGCTGGAACTGTGTCGCTAGTAAAATTCAAAGCCAAGGTGAAATGTGATAAGGAAGAATGAAAGTCTTCCAAGTATATGTAATGGGGGGCAAGCTTAGGTTAGATTTAATCAGGCTATTCTCTCCATTTATTAAACTTTTTTTATTATGGCCCAATATATATAAATGCATGGAGCTAATACAACAAAATTTCAAGTATCTATCAATGAGATTCCAATGTATTAATCAAGTTTGATTAATTGATCTTTTAATATTTTAGTGTGATTGAAATAACAAAATCTACTTTAAATTATTTAGAAACCCCTTTTTAATGGAAACTACAAGAGAAATTAACATTGTCATGTAAGTAAAATTAAAACTCAATCTTTCCTCAAGATTAAAAATAAAAATAAACATATG